TTTCTTCTTTTTTTCCTGAGTATCTAGTGACGATATGTTTCCCAGCATCCTTTGTAGTTGTTTTCTTGGTCAGGGGAGAAATAGAAAGTGAGAAATAGGGATGTGTGCTACTTCTCAATGTGACCCTTAAGAACCTTTCCGACTACCCTCATAGCAGACACTGTGGGGACAAGATCCTACCCAGCGGTCCAGGAACAATTTTTGGTCTCTAAGGAAAGCAACAAATAAGTTTCCCTGGTGTTTAAACCATTACCTTGGTGTCTATTTGATAACTTAATATGCTACCTCCTAAGCAAGTGCTTTGCTCTTAGGAAAAAAGCCTAAAGTGTACCGTACCATAATTTATGCAAGTGTTTAAGATCTAGTACCTGTCTATCGCCACTTCCCAGCCTTCATGCTTCTTTCCTCTCTGCCCTCTGTACTACCAGCCACACCTACTTCTTTCTTTTTTCCTTTCTTTTTTTTTTTTTTTAGGTGCGGTCGTGGGGCCTGAACTCTGGGCCTGGGTGCTGTCCCTTAGCTCTTCAGCTCAAGGCTAGCGCCCTACCACTTGAGCCACAGTGCCACTTCCGGCTTTTTTCTTTTTGCTTATGTGGTGCTGAGGAATCGAATCCAGGGCCTCAGGCATGCACAGCAAGTGCTCCACCACTGAGCCACCTTCCCAGCCCCTTCACACCTACTTCTTTCTATGAAGCATGTTATTTCTGCTTTAGGCCCTTCACCCATACTCCTTTCCTCCTTTCTCTTTTATCTTCTTTCTCAGTTTTCTGAACTCTTATCAGAGAATAAACATGAGAAAGTACAAGGGAGTAGGTCCTTGTTCAAGAACAAGCCTCATTATATTCATTGCTTAATACTTTTCATGCTTAAGGGGTGGGAAGAACTTGTAAGGCTGCAATGTACAAGTTGGCACTTGTGTGTGAATGGTTGTTTAATGAAAACCTGCTAGCAATACACAATGACAGGAACAGTCGAGGTAAATTATGTAATATTCTTAGACTATTATATATTTATTTATTAAAATTCAGCTCATGACACAGACAACTGTTTATTATTGAGTGAAAAGAATAAATGTAATTGTTAAGAATTGTGTTTAGATGCCCATTGTGGTTGAGTTTGGAAAGTAGAATTTGAGTAAATTGTTTTCTTCCCTTTTGGGATTTTTCTTGATTTTCTAAAAAGTTCTGTGAATACTCCAATATTTTATTATAATGAGAATCTACACATCTACACATTATATATTATAGTTACATTTTCGTAATTCCTACCCATCCTTCCAAACTCTGAGCTTCCTGAAATTTTATCTTATTCATGTACGCGTCTTTGGCTTAGGAAACATCTGATCTAACCTGAACTAGATAGTCAATGAAACACTATCAATGAATAATGAAAATCATCTCCACACAAAATCTTGTGTAAGTAGGTCCTTATGGAGTCACTTTTCTGTCCATTATTAGTAGCCTGGTAGTTAGTTCTCAAGCTCATGGATTGCCTGACATTGATGATATTAGAGAATATTACCCAACTAGTCAAGAGTCACTAGGACCCTGGCTAGAGATGCAGTAGAAATGACCAAGAACAGGAGAGGGCCATAGGCACTTACAGCAGGAAAACAAGAGCAATTCTTTGTCCCAATTAGCATTTAGCAATATTGTGAGTATTTGGGCTGGAGACTTAACTCAGTGATGATTTCCTTCTCCAGAAAATTCACTGTGTGTCCTAAGTCAGGCTCTTTCCCACCCACTTTGAATACATGTCTTATTTAACAATAGGTATAATGAAAGAGACACAAAGATTTATTTTTAGTTAATTAGGACTAAGACAAATAGGTATGAGTAAAAACAAATAGAAATATTATAATTCCATAGCTAGGCAAAACCTGGATAGAATAACCTAAGATCTCACTCTAAGATGACCGATGGAGTTCAAGGGTCATGACCCAGGTGGCATGGGAGGAGAGCCACACTTGTTCCATTATAACAGTTCTCTCTAGCTCTCTAAATTTTCTTCAACAGCTGAATTCTTTATTGTGTTGCCTGTTCCTCCATTATTCCCTGACTCACACCAATCCTAACCTACAAGAAAAGACAGGGCTGGGAAGTTGGCTCAGTGGTAGAGCGCTTGCCTTGCATGCCTGAGGCCCTGGGTTCGATTCCTCAGCACTACATAAGCAAAAAGAAAAAAGCCGGAAGTGGTGCTGTGGCTCAAGTGGTAGAGCGCTAGCCTTGAGCTGAAGAGCTGAGGGACAGCGCCCAGGCCCAGAGTTCAGGCCCCATGACCGGACTCCAAAAAAAAAGAAAAAAAAAGACAAATGAAGTCTGTCCTATGTAAGGACAGCGTTTCATGGCTGAGACCTGCACTCAGATCGACTGCTCTGCAGAAGAGGTCTGGCAGGCACTACTAGCATCTGTACAGAACGGGCAGCTCATTTGTGACCAGCCCTACCACAGATGGCTTACTCCCTAACACTGAAGGACCTGAGAAATTTGGTTCAAGAGGGTTTCATTGATGAGGCTGGCTACAGCAGCTTTACCAAGGAGAAGCTAATATGCAGCTGCAAAGGTGGATTTCAAAAACAGGCATCTTGAAACTATTAGGACATTTCATAGAAAGCAGACTTGGCATTTTCTTTGGAAACAACATGACCTAAAACAAGATCTTCCTCCTATGTTCTCTTGAATGGGTTTTCTGACATTATGCTGTAAGGTGACGGAGCTAAAATCCAAGGTAGGATACACAAGAGCTGGTACCGCACTGCTTGTCTGCTTTGGGTGTGAACATGTCATGAGAGGGAGCATCTGTGGACAGGGTCATCAGGAGACAGGAGCTGTTCGCTGGCACAACAGCCATTCACTTATTCATCCCCTAGTGGGGTCATTGCAATTTCTACCCCTAGGGTTCCCTACTTTTCACTTTCCTGTGACTCCCTGTTCTCTGCTAAACTCCTGCAAGACCTCCTCAAGAACACAGTTTTTAAGAGCACTGGCCAGCTTATTCTTTATTTTTGGTCGGTCATGGGGCTTGAACTCTGGGCTTGGGCACTGTTCCCTAGCTCTTCAGTTTAAGGCGAGTGCTCTACCACTTGAGCTACAGCGCCACTTCCGGTTTTCTAGTGGTTTATTGGAGATTGGAGTCTCACAGTCTTTCCTGCCTGGGCTGGCTTTGAACCGTGATCCTCAGATCTCAGCTTCCTGAGTAGCTAGGATTACAGGTGTGAGCCACTGGTGCCCGGCTCCTTTCACAATTCTTTTTTTTTAATTTAATTTAATTTTATTTGTGAACATACTGTACAGAGGGGTTACAATTTCTTTCACAATACTTATCTACTCTATTACTACCCACTTGCTCAATGCATTACTTGAATGAGTTGAGTAAGCCACAGGTTTGTTCCTAGTCTTATCTCTATCATCTTTCTAATACTCATTCACTTATTGTGTTTTGCCTCTCACTGCCCAGAGTTCAGATCCAATCTCTCTCTTTTGGACCACTATGATGGCTTCCTGACTGGCTCCTTTGACCAGTGTCTACTTCTTATACACCATAGGTGCTTAAGCATGACTCCTCAACATTATTCTCTCTTTTTGTCTAAAGTCCTTGGTCAAGCATTAAAAGTTTCTGGTGGCTGTAAAGCTACCTTTCTAAGATTTAAGCCTTCTTCACCATTTCTTCCTTCTGAGCTCTGCCTAGACTAAAGCGCACAGGGTTCCCTATTCAACTAGAAGCTTCCCAGCTTCCATGAACTTTTTACTCTTTTGTCTACTCGGAACACCTTTGCCCCCATCCTTACATGTTCAGATTCTATCAGAATGGAAAACTAAGGCTACAAAACAAAAACTCCTCTAATGATAGATAAATGAAGCAAATATGTTAATTAGCTTGATTAACCATTCAGCACTCTATACATCCCATTGTACTCCATAAATGTATACAACTAGGACTTGTCCAACAAGGAAACATAGGCTGTGTGGTTTCCCCTCATTTGTAATAATTAGAATGAGCCTATAAATCTATAAGTAAACCCAATGGATAGTAAAAGAGAAAAATTACAGTTGGACATGATAAATAGGATTCTAAATAATTTACACAGTGAGACCCAAGGAAGATATTCTTAGGAGAGGATCACAAGGGCTCAATAGCTATGTGCATATGACCATATAAAATGATGCTTATAGAAATGAACTCCAAGAAATGGTAGCAAGAGTTTTTTTTTTTAATTTTACTTTTTGTGGCTCTTTTTTCTCTTTTGTTGCTATTTTTTATTTCTGTACAATCTGTCTTGTATATAAGTTTATCTGATTTGGGGAGGGGAAGGGGAAGGACAGATATGGTGGGACAAAGTATAAATTAATTCAGCAGTGATATTCATTAGACATTTTTTGGAAATGGACTATACAACTTGGGGGGAGGGTCCTAGGAGGGAAAAAATGGGAAAAATGAGGGAGAGGGTGAAGCGTTGTTCAAAAAGAAATGTACTCAATACATCACCTTTATAATAAAAATAATAAAAAGAATGCTAATTTAGCCAGGCACCGGTGGTTCATGCCTGTAATCCTAGCTACTTAGGAGATTAAGATCTGAGGATCCCTGTTCAAAGCCAGCCCAGGGAGGAAAGTCTGAGAAGCACTTATTTCCAATTATGTACTAAAAATCCAGAAGTAGAATTTTGGCTCAAGTGATAGAGTGCTTCCCTTGAGCAAAATCTTTCAGGGAATGGCCAGTCCCTGAGTTCAAGCCCCAGGACTGATACACACATACACACAAATAATATTAATTTAAACCACCATCACCTTTTTAAAAAAAGATCTCATTTGCTCTAACCAGAATTAATGCTTTCTCCTATAAATTTCCCTTTCAAAGTGATTGAGGCTCATTCTTTAGCTTTTCTATTAGCACTGAGTTGCTGAAAGCAGAATTTGTTTCTAATTTCTGTTTGCATAGTCCAGCCTAGCACAGGCTTTGGTCACCATTGGAATAAATGAACACAGGAATGAATTTCTCACCTGCAACTTGGCAGTTAATTGTCACATTCACTCCCTGGACTGTTTTGAGGGTACTTCCTATATCCACTGTGATTGCGGGCTTCTCTGTGTTGACCATCAGCATCCGTGATGTTTTCACCAGTGGCTTTCCTGATGACAGAATATGAGATGTTAGGAGATGGTGGCTGTGGACTTGGGGCACTCTTTTGAGATACAGGATAACCAGCAATGAATGAATCATCTTCCTAGGCTCTTCCCACAAACCATGTTTTCTCTTGAAAAAAAAAACAACCACAACTCAACTGCAGATATAAGCCATTTACCCATGTACCCATACCTCTTATATACTACTTATTGCAAATAAGGAAAACCATGGGACCCAAGTTTCTTTGGGCCTTGTTTACTTCACTTAATATATTTTTCCCAAGTCTTTCCATTTCCTAACAAATGGGGCAATGTCATTCTTTCTGATGGAGGCATAAAATTCCATTATGTATATCTACCACAATTTCTTGATCCATTCATCTATTGAGGAGCATCTTAGCTATGGTAAATAATGCTGCAATAAACATAGTCATGCTGGTAACTTTAGTGTGGCCTTGTTTGTGATCATTTGGGTAAATGCCCAAAAGTGGGATTGCTGGGCCATAGGGGAGCTCTATGTGGAGTCTTCTGAGGAACCTCCATACTGCTTTCCAAAGTGGTTGAACAAGTTTACACTCCCACCAACAATGCAGTAGGCTTCCCTTCTGTTCACATCCCCTCCAGCATCTGTTGTTATTAGAGTTCTTGATTTTAGCCATTCTAACTGGGGTAAGGTGTTATCTCAATATTGTTTTGATTTGCATTTCTTTTATGGCTAGGGAGGTTGAGCATTTCTTCATGTATCTATTGGCCATCCTTCTTTCCTCTTCAGAGAAGTTTCTCTTTAAGTCTTTAGCCCACTTATTTATTGGGCAGCTGTTTCTCTGAAGATTTGTTGTTGGGAGATTTAATTTTTGGAGACAAGTTCTTATTATGTAGCCCCGGATGGCTTTGAATTCTTGTTTCTCCTGCCTTCACCTCTCCTGTGGCAGCATTACAGGTATGAACCACCATGCTGAGCCTGGTTAGGTGTTCCACATTTTGATTTTTCCCCCTAGTACTCATTGGAAATACCTAGTAGCTGGTTTCTTCATCTACAGGTTTGGGATTTATGAGCTACAAGTTTGAGAAATCCCAACAAGTTTACAGTTGTATGAATTGTATGAATGACTCCTAGTTTCCAAGATCTGTAGCCAACCTGCTTTCCTCTCCCAACTTTGCAGTCTTAGGTACATTCTATGTACCATGTTCAGGGTGTTTAGTTGTACTTAGCAGGAAGAACAGGGAATACTGCAACTATTCCATCTATACTGTCTTCCCGGAAGTGGAAGTCCATTGCACAATGTGTTTTAATAGGCTTTTATCAGCTGGGGAAAAATATAGCCCTGCATGCACATGACCATAAAATTCAACAAAAAGATTCATTTACTGAGTACCTTAGGGAAATAAGGGTCCACATGAGATCATTGCATATACCTAAAGCTTAATCTTTTGAAAGTCAAATGGATTTAATTTTGTTTTAACCATTTATAGGCAGGGCATTCTATGGTGCCATTCACCATATGAATGAAGAAACCTTATTTCAGAAATGCTGTTTGGAATCTTAAATCTGCTTTTAAGTTTTTTTTCTCTTTTCCTTTATGTTTTCATCCCTTATTCCTTTTGCATGGTCACCTAGCCTCATGTTAGAAGCTGTACTTCCTTCTCTCTCCTGTTTTAAAAGTCCCCTAGGAATAGGTAATTAAGCTAACTGGAGCTATATTTAAGAGTGGAAACTTGAATCAGGTCTGAGGAGCTCATGAGAGATCATAGGCTTTCCATATTAATTATGACTATTTAGGGTATTTTTCCCCTCCTATCTTCCACATTTGAGAGTATGAGTATATGACCTGATGTGAACACAATTCCATACTGTATTGATTGTTTGCATAATAGATGCAAGGCTACGATGGGAGATATCAGCAGGTATAACACTGAATTAATAGTGCATACTTAACTCCCTACCCTTTAAACATTTTCTTATTAGTAACATATTTATTGTACGGTGGATATAAGAAGAATTTTTGTGCTATAATCTAATGATATCATTAGCTCTGTTTAGAGAATTGCACAGCAAAACTGGTTTCCTTGCTTCTACTCTTTTTCTTTTTCCTTTTTCTTTATTTCTCTGTCCTCCCTCCCTCCCTCCCTCTTTCTTTCTTTTCTTTCTCCCTTCCTTCCTCCCTCCCTTCCTTCCTCCCTCCCTCTCTCTCTCTTTCTTTCTCTAATTCCTTCTTTGTCCCTTTTTTCCTTTCTTTCTTTCTTCCTTCCTTCCTTCTTTCTTTCTTTTTTCTTTCTTTCTTTCTCTCTTTCTTTTCTCTCCCGCCCTTCCTTCTTTCCTTCCTTTCTTTCCGTAGGTTCTTGCTAGTTAGCCCAGGATAACCTCAAACTCACAATCCTCCTGCCTCAACCACTCAATTGCTAGAATTACAGGTATGTTCTGCCAGGCCTGGTTTCTTGCTGTTACTCTTGCCTCACTAGTTTCTTCCTGTGACAACCAGAGTGATATTTCTAAAATATGAGTCAGATTATACAGCTTTTCCACTTAAAATTCCCAGTGCTTTCTCATGACCAAATACTTTCTACAAAGTAAGGCCCAGTTGTTTTCCTCTCCTGCTCACTGAGGCCACATAGGCCATCAATCACTGAGTTCCAGCATGTTGGCTTTCCTCCACCCGAACAGCTGGCTGTCCCTTGTCCCCCGACATCTTCCATCTACTGACATCTACACACTGTTTTTTTGGTCATTTGTGTTGCTGTGTGTGAAGCACATCACCTAATGAGGTCTTCCCCAAATGCTTCATCGCAAACACTACCCCTTCACTTCCTTTTCTGGTATTATGGATCTCACTGATATGCATATTGTTTTCCTAAGGGACCTGTATAATAATTTTATCTTATTTATCTGTACATTCTCTGCATCCTTTTCTCCCACTTCACGTCACCATCTGATCTCCATAAAAGCATAATAGTTCTTTTATTTATTCCTGCTACCCAGACCTGGCACATGGTAGGTCCTCAGAAAATACTTAAGTTAATCAAATATGTATGCCAGGCTATGTAAATTACATGGAAAAATTTCTCCACAGAAACCTTGAGATATAGGCAGGTAAAATATGACTGTCTTTTATATAGACAAGGAATTGAGACTTAAAAAGTATTCATGGTTTGTTCAAGACCACATAGTTGGCAAGTAGCAAGGTCAAACTAGACAGCAGATCTTTGACCTCAAATCCAGTGCTTGTGACAGGGGGTAGCAAATCCTCGTCTGCAGACTGGCTGCCTCAGAATCCCCAGGGCCCTTGTTAAAAACAACCTGTCCTGCTCCAGTACAAGAGCTGCCTCACTGTATTATAAAAACAACTGTGCCAATGGGGAAATGAGGCGACGGACCAGAGTTTTAGACTTACAATTACCAAGTTATTTTTCCTACAGGAATTTTAATAATAAAGGTGGGTTTTATAGCTGCAAGTGTATAGCTATAAAATTCAAATGTCACTGAATTAAATCCAGCCCTTAATTAATTATGCTGAGCTTTTGCTGAAAAGTAATGGCCCCTTTTCCTGTCAGCAGAGGTGCTGTTATTAACACAGACTACTTCTTACACGTTCCTGTTGGCTTCAGGAACCATTTCTAAAACAAAGTTACCTAAGTATTCATAATCAATGGAAGTTTGCAACAAAATCAATGCTCCTTAACCAATCAGTCCTTTTACCTATATTAAATAAATGCCAATATATATTTAGTCTCACTCTTCATGTACTATACCTGAGGGTGTATGGAAGTGGGGGTGGCATGGGTGGTTAGACGCATTAGTATTTGTTTTCAGTATGATTCTGGATGATAGCGAAATACAACCAGTTTTAATATGTACTGCATGCTCCATCACATTTTTGTTTTGCAGATTATTTCTGTCCTTGGTGGAAGTACTGATTCTCTATCAGAGTCATTCAAGTTGAAGGTTTTACTTTGATGGGAAGCTAAAAGAAATTATCACAAAGGAGGAGCCTACAATGCTTGATAAGAAATGTACTCATTATCTTGCCCATCTAATTGTAACCCCTCTGTACAGTATTTTCACAATAAAAAAAAGAAATTATCAGAGGCTGATCGTAGATCACGTGGATGATCATGTGGGCACTGAGTTTTGCTATGTAAGAGCAACCAGGAGACACCAGTGCCTATGTTTGTTGTGTGATTAAAATCATACTGATATCAACTAGTATTGTTAATTATAGAAGTTAGCTAGGAAGAACAGTGATGGGTGTGGTGGTGCATGCCTTTAATCTCAACTCCTCAAGAACTGGAGGGAGACTAGATGAAGTTAGCATGAGACTGTCTGGGGAGAAAACAACAACAAAATGAAGAGCAAAAAGATCAGAGGCATGGGTCAAGTGGTAGAGTGTTTGTTTAGCAAGTACTGACATTGAACTCAGTACTGTTTATGCAATACTAAATCCAATCTCCAGTACTACAAATCAAAAGAAAGAGAATTAACTAAGAAGAAACAAAAAAGTAAAGATGCAGAGTGGAGTGAAATGATGAATACAGTATTTTTTTGTAAGATGATATTAAAAGTGATCATAGAAAAACAGAGCAGGTGAAACAGAAAAAGTGTCATGAGAACAAAGTCACCATTATAGAACCTGCATAGCATGAGTTGCCCACCAGTCCCAGTACTGTGCACATAAGCACCCATGTAGGTTTAACAAACTATTATTAGGCTTTGGACAAATTAGTAAGCAAAATTGAAATCCAATCAGAAATTGATTGGGTTTATAGATAATTGACTTAAAAATCATTGAATGACTTTATTGAAAGGGTCTTCCTTTCAGTTCTTCAATATTGGGAGTCACAAATGTCATCTGAAAGTTATTTTATTTTACCCTTAGCCATCAAAAATGAATTATAGTCCAAAGATTTTAGATTTTTTTTCTGTTCATGTAGAGGTGATTTAGTCTAAGACATGTACATGTGTACTCATTCTCATCAACAGATTAGCTAGAGATGACTGGGAAATGAGCAAC